GGGTCAACGCTGTCAATGAAGATCTTTCTGGAATTACAGCCTGGGGAACCAGCAACATAGTTGAATTCATCGCCATCAAAACTAAAGCCAGTATTTTCTCTAGAAAGGCGGAACACAGTATGCCTGATATATCAATGACTTGTTTCAAGTTCACTTCATTGTCACACCCTGTTACTTTGGCATGCTTGGGGAGCATACCCGGGATGACACTGGTAGAAACATATCATTTGCTTATCTAGATTTGGTAGATAATGAAGCCTCTGAAGCTTTTTTCGATACTAGACCATATAATTGATTCCAATGAAACAGAACCACTGAAGTAGATCAGTCAATGAGAGGACACATATCAGACCAATCTCTCAAAGTCAATACTTGTAGACGAGTATATTTCTTTAAGGAATTCGTCAAGTCTCTTAATCGTGAGTCAACTCCTGACTCTTCAGCTCTTCAAAAAAGTAGCTCGAAGTTGATGAACCTATTGATTAGAGAAATATTGTGTATCGTTTGGAAACGTGAAACTTTCGGTGTATCTGTATCAAGAAACTAGAATTTTCAAATAGAAATCTTACTCAGGAGAGATGAAATGGATTGTCGCTTCTGAGAAAAATAATAACCGATCAACTCATAAAACGAGCCTTTGGACTCTTACCTTCTTATTTTCTGTCCCGATCATTGCTGACCAGCACACACACGGGAGTAGTGAGGAAACCGGAATCACAACACCTGTGACAACATCATTATTGTCTGTTTCACAAAATTATAGAATTTTGAATAGCGGCGGACCACACTTACTTTCTCGCGTGGAGATCGTACCGAATTGTCTTATCTCCTCTTCCTAGTTTTACCACAGAGGGCGTGCTATAGATTTCAAAGGCATTCTCGCGATGAATATGATACCAGGAGAGGTCTAAAAGTATTCTCGATTTTGGGTTGACTATAAATTAAATTATAATAATACAAGATTGATTGAAACTATTTAACAAACACAACAAACACCTACGTGGGGACAAATCATGCCGCCCACCTAAAATACTCTGTAAATACTGAGTTTTGTCACGGGTAGCCTCAGCTCGTCATTAGCCGTTTTCACAGAGACCACCCTCACCATGCCATCGGTGCCTGGAAAAGTAGCAGTGACACGACCCATGTGCCACTTCAGGGGAAGAACATTATCCACTTCAGGACGAGAGTACCGACTTCTAATGGAATGGAGTTATTTACCCACATGGTTCTCTGATGGAGAGTATGGAGGTATTCATTGGACCACCGAATCCAAAAATCCTGGTGCATACGACTGATAAGTTGCCATCTAGAGAGACGGTTGATAGAAATATCTCTCAGATCGTGATCAGGAGGAGAGGTCAAAGGGGCCAGAGAAAGAAAATGGCCCGGAGTGAGGGCAGTTAAGTCGTTGGGGTCATTGCTGAATGGTGTAAGGGGCCGAGAGTTCAAAATTGACTCGATCTGCGTGAGCACAGAAAGCAACTATTCGAACGTCAATATTTGGTCCCCAATAACTCGAATAAAATAAGATTTTACAGATTTCACCCCGATTCCCATAGACCTCCGAAGTTGGGGGACGAAGGGGGGTTGAAGTGTCAAACAATATTTTCCTGGGAAGCGGAGGAGGCAAACATCTCATTCAGCTGTCTATGTGAACTAACAAAGTTAGTACCACAATCACTATATAAGTGATCACAACGTCCTCAACGAGCAACTAAACGCCTAAGCGTGGCTAGAAAGGCATCAGCAGATAGATCTGAAACAGGTTCCAGGTGAACCGCCTTGGTAGCCATGCACACAAATATACATAGGTATGCATTCAAGAATTTGGCACCCCTTGTACGAGACATAGACATACGGAATGATCCGGCAAATTCTACTCCAGTATGCAGGAAACATTTCAACCTGGAAACACGAGCGATAGGAAGATCGCTCATTGGAGGCTGACGGGGCTTGAGATTGGTCTTCCAGCAGGTGATGCGCCGGGATAAGACTCGACGAATTGATTTTTTGAAATTTATAATCCAGAACTGTTGTGAGATCAAGAACTGAACGGTCTGAATACCTTCATGAAAATGCTTCAGATGAGTGTTTCCGATTAAAAGATCTGTAAACCGACTCTCACTAGGAAGCAAAACTGGAAATTTCCGATCAAAAGATGTCGGAGCGTTTCGTAACTTTCCGCCTACTCTGAGGACTCCAGTGTCATCTAGAAAAGGGGACAATCGGGACAAATATTTTGAAAGCAGTTTATCGTTTGTTGAGAGCGATAATTCTTCAGAAAAGTATGAAGTTTGAATGTTTTTGGCAAATATCAAAAGTGAGTGATGTAGTTCCTGAGAACTGAGACAACCTGAGTATTTGCTCGAAGGGTTGGATGAATTATGAGAAAAATCCACGAATATATCCGACGATATGACAACTCACTGTGAGGGAGGCGTTCTTTATGAGAAGCGTATCTAATAAATGGGGTGATTGAACTGAAATGTTCAACGTGACCTTGCGTTCTTCTCCCAAAGCTTCCGGGAGAGGTTCAATATTCTCAGTATAATATCGTGAAGATGAACGAAGGAAGTCAGATCCCGCCCACCATGATGAACATTGAAGAAACTTAACCTTTTATTTTTATGACAGTTTCAAAACCAAGGCGGAGGAATAAAAACACATGGTTTGCCTGAAAGCGTGAACAACAAAATCAAATATTACCAGAACCTACTCTATCTCCCTATATCGAATATTCTAATCTGAAAGGTTTCGAAACGCTTCGTCAATAAGAATCTATTCTTGGACAACAAAGCATACTTTTGATTGAATAAATATTTTTTTATTGCTCCCTTTTTTACACTAGCACATGTGTTTTCAATTGCAGATGTGGTGGTAGCAGATATTGTTCACACCCATTGTGAGTCACCCATTGCAGTAGTTTCTGATTGAGAATTAAAAATTTCAGATTCATCATCAGTTCTATGAGCTGAACTGACAAATTGTTTACGAAACTTCCTGAATACATAATATTCCTCATTTCGACGATGGAAGTTGATGATTAACACAATCGAATATGTTGCTGATATCACAAAATTGTGTTGCGGGACATTCTCCATTTTTTATACATTCCACAACTCTGTTATAGAAAGATATTGAGGCTCATGAGGTTGACCTCGACTTCCGAAACCCATTTTGATTTCCACTAAGTATATTATTTTCATTAATATAGTTCGTAAGTCTATCTAGAAAGGCCTATTCAAATATCTTCCGGAAGCTACATGGCGTTATGACTGGTCCATAATTTCAATTAATTTTGATCATCTTCCTTGTGGATAGGACTAACTTTTCCATATTTCAATACCTAGGTATGATCAAAACTCTCAATACTCTTTTATTGAGAGAGGAGGAACATTATCAAGTCTCGATGAATATTTATGTTCAATCTTGGTATCCAGCAGACTATATTATTCCGCCTCTGTGAATGGTACCTAGAACAGTGAATTTACATTGGAATTCTTGTTCGTTATGACTGGTCAATATGAGATAATAAATAAATGGGAGAAGTGATAAAGAAATTATTGAACTAGCTTGTTTCCTCCGAAGGATTGTCAATAGATCCATCGCCTGAGTTTATAGAAATATTTTGAAATTTTTCATCTGATTCATACGTCAAATCAGATACAAATAAAATATATCAGGATGAAGTTTATGAATTGCAAAAAAGTCATTAGGATTCTTACTAGAAAGGCTTATTTCGTCGATAAACCAATTTTTTGTTGTTATTCAAGGAACATTTGCTCTCAGGAGAAAAATCATTGAAAAAGTAGATAAATAAAGAATGGAAACATTCGAAAGCCTCATGATACGCTTGTATACTGAGTATTCTGATTTTTGTGGAATGCTTTTGTGTTGACGGTTATGATTTTTCCGTATCATTAATGACTGAGACGTATAATTTTTTGAATATAGCGATCACATTTTCCACATAGAAGGTGTATTCCCATGTTTTTATCCGTTATATGCCTTCGAAGATTTTCTTCGCAATGTCGAAATGTCCCCTCGCGCCCTACCTAACACGCCAGTGCCCCTTGCAACCACCTAACACGCCCCTGCCAAATTGCCAAAAATTCAGTTTCCACATAAAATCTCCATTCTATATTTCATTCATCAGTTAGTCCAGTAGTGTTATTTTTTTGCGTTTGGCTGCCAGTCCGGTGGTCCAGGGTTCAATTCCTAGCGCCAAGACTTTTTTAATTCACCAAGTAACCGACATTTGTGACCAGGTATGCTCTAGACTACATTTCGGCGACACTTGTGACTATTCTACTTCCTGACGCGCTATAATTACTATCGTTATACTACTCATTACATAACAAAAGTATCTCTGATCATATCCCCCAACAAAATATGCGCAAATGCATGACTTATAAATTGATAGCACTAACGAATCGGAACTCATTCTACCATTCAATATATCATCTCGATGACTATCATTTTTGTATAGGACAGAATGATCCATTACTACCATTTTGTGTCCTGCCTATGAATATACGGTGGAACATACAGAACGCACTCATAACGCACTCATGACGCACTCATGAGTTCGAACCAGTGCGACAAGTAGAAAACTCTATCAAATTCAGATAACCCATGTAACAGAAAAATATAGCATATTGGCGTATCCAGAGTGGAATATATATATATATATATTTTCATTGACGGAAAAAAACTTCTCCACGGGAAAAAGTGAGTACTATTTTCCCGGGGAAAATATATATATACACATTTGTTGTGCCAGTTCCAAAAAATAAGCCAATGAAACCCTTTTGAAGAAGAAAATACGATCCAAATGATGATTTCTCAATGTCAGTAGCAAATTCAGCAGCAATTTGAGGAGAACGGTTACATCAAATTATTTTAACCATGCTGTTCATTTTTGTCATCTCAATCCAATGCCAATCATAAGTAATGCGTCGCTTTAATATTATTCTCACTATATTGATTTTTTTCAGATATTTCAACTGGTTTAAAATTCCCTTGTGCTTCGTTATACCAACTCTAGTGGCACATTTTTACTTTGACGAATCCTGGTTCAATGCTATTGCAGGAGTATGTTTCGTGAAATACATCATCTCGCTCAACTCTACATGGTGCGTAAATAGTGCTGCACATTTGTTTGGGAACAAACCGTATGACAAGTGAGTTAGTTTTCATACTATTGTTGTTGTGTTGTTGCCGATATAAGATAGATATAAGATAGGATGCCAGGAAAAGAATTCGTGAGCTTCATAATTGTGTTAGTAGCTCAGCACCAAATTATGAATTTCCAGCTGCTTCCTATTCCTTGAAGCATTATACTCAGATCGCTTGATTTACTCGAGTACACAGAACAAAATCACATTGATCTCTCACCTCACAGCTTGGTTTTGTGTGGCGTCGGAGGACGTAGAGCCGTAGTTTGATTAAAAGTATAGCGATTATCAATCGGCGATTCATCAACCGCACCAGCACGGAGTTAGTACAAGTTGCATTGAATTGGGGTTTTTATTTAGTGCAGTTGAAGCACACAGCAGTAGTAACTGGAATTGAATGAATTGAGCACCTCAGGAGCCGCCTCAACTGGAAACGCATCGACTCGAAGATATTATATGTATACCTACATGGAATATGATCTTCCCAATACTAAATTTTTTGAACCATCTGCAATGACAGGTATTGTCATGGTGGTTTGAGTCTTTTGTGAATATCTCCTTCAACATCTTTGTTATTCGAAAAACGATACATCATCAACCGATACAAAAATATTTTATTTTCGAAATCAACTGAGATAGGATGTTAATATGGCCAACGCTGCCTCGTGATTGAAGCGTCAATGTTGTTTCCACGTTTGATTGCCGATAGGTGGGTTCGATTCCTACCACGACCGCAGACATTTTTCTGATGGCCTGAGAAAGTGTTTGAAATCACACGTTCAAAGGTGAGACCTCCGTCATTCTTAGCTCCCACAAGTCTCTTGAAGACTTCTGAGGGTTGCTCGTAGGGGGGCAACCGAATGATGGATAAGAACAATTTTAGAACAATTTTTTATGAAAGATTCGATGAAGATATGAGCACTGCACGGTTCTGAAATTTTCAACTCTGGGCCAGCCTGAAGCAAGTACCCAAGCCAGTAGAAATGAATTTTTGATATTGATTCGGTCTTGAAATAAATAGTGGATCATGCTGAACGCACTGAATGCGAAATAAGTTTCAACCAGTGCGAGGAGTAGAAAACGCTATTGAATTCATGTAACCCAGATAACAGACAACGAATGTACCATAATGGCGAATCCATTGTACAAAAAAAAACAGAATTTTATTTTTGAAAAATCACTGTTTTATGAGTAGACCGATTCGATTGATTTTGGTCTTCAGAATCGAACAAGACCAAACGTCAACTTTATATTCATTGAATTTAATTGAAAAAAAAAATCGGGCACACCAAAACTTGGCCATACTTGCATACTTGCTCGAACTTTTTGAGTCGTACTGTATCTATTTGTGTGTGATATTTTGAGAGCGTGGACTTTTTCGAATAGAATAGGAGGTAAATGCGAATCCGTCAAAAAATAACTGGCATACGACAGGATAAAGACAGGTGTGTTTTCACATCAGGATTCCGATTTGCTTGCGTTCTGTTGGTTTGCCTATATTCTCCTTTTGGAAAATGTCATACAGACAAAGATAATATCTTCATCATTTCATATTTGTCAAAAAATCATGAAAAAAAAAACGCTATTTGATTCAACGTACAAACAATCGAAAATTAATATAAACAAAGTACAAACGTTGAGGAGATCATATATCTGTATGCTTGTCATAAGCTTCATCGATCCCTGTGGATCCCTGTGGATCCTGACCTTAGAATCATCCCATAGAAAATAGTCGCCGCATGGCAGGAGATTGTTGTGAATTCCCATTCAATCTGTATCCTCTCAAAATAAAAATTTCGTAAAAACGTCTATAATTCCGGAGACATATCTGTTGTTTGTTTGTGCTCATTGGTCACATTCATCATGCAGAACGAACTGCTCAAGAGTGTTCAAATGTTGCCGTCAGGATGGACGATGTGTTATTTTCTATGAAGGTTAGTGGAATTGATGATTTTTCGTAAAGGAAGGTTGCTTCGATCAGCAGAATGCGGTGAGGGGAAGTGGTAATTCGTTACATAATCTCATCGGAAATTCCATTTCAGAGCCATGAGGATCTATATTCCACAACTGTGTTCAAGTAGTTTTACCTATCCAGCTGTGATCTCGAATTATATTAACTTCTCAATTCAAAATGACATTTTGGATGCGATTACGTCAAGAATCACCACTTCTTCTCACGGCGTTTTATGATTGAGGCAACCTTCCTTTACAAAGAATCATCAATAATTCTACATACAATTCTCACATATATGGCAACATATGGTGAAACCTTAGCCGTGGCACTTGAGTCTGGCACTCCAAGCCAAGCTTCCATCTCATGGCTTTCCTCCCCAGCTATGTTCTCTGCTAGGTAGTTTTCTCTCAAACAGGTCTCTCCATGTAGTGGTCGACGGAGTTTCATCTGACTCTCTTACATGAATGTTGGTGTTCCGCAAGAATAAATTCTAGCACCAACACTATTTCTACTCCATATCAACGAATTGTTGGAAGCAGCTGCATGTCCAGTACACAGCTTCGCGGATGATAGAAACCTCCATATCGCCTTCTCTTCCAGGGCTCTAATACCAGCCTGGCAAATCAGAAACGAACGTGGAAGAAATGTTGACTTATGATCTATTAGGCACAGATACGACTTTACCTGGAATTTGGAATTCTGTTCCCATATTTAGAGTGGAACACCCAAACATACCCTGAAACTGTTGTATTCTGTCCAAAAAAGGGCAATTCGTCTCGTGGGTGATGCCTCGCTCACAAACTCACTCACTTCCCTTGAACACCGTAAAGAAGTTGGCGATCTGGCTCAATTCTATAGATATTTTCATGGACGATGCTCTTCTGAAATACCAACAATTGTTCCTTCCTTGACAGTCCCCGCGAGATAAACCCGTCGAGTTGAGGCTCCGCACCCCTACGTGGTCACTTTGGAGACCTGCAGAACATCTCTCCAAAGACTCGTTCATCTAACGAACAGCAAGGCTCTGGAACACATTGCCAAGGAAGGTGTTCCCTGAGGCAAATGAGTTCTAGAAATTTGAGAAGAACACCAATGCCTACCTTATTTTCCTTGGTTCTCACGATGTTTTCTGAACATAATAGGGTATCCCTCCACGTTGGAACCAGAACAAGAAAGAAAGAATAATGAAATATCGTTTTTCTTTGACATTATTGACATTTTGTATAAAAATTTTCATTCTGGGAGGATACAGATTGGATAGGATTCTAAAACAATTTCCTGCCATGCGACTATTTTCTGTGTGGTGATTCGGAGGCCCGCATACACAAAACTGGAAGAGAACTTGAAGCTCATGGGAAGCATACATATATTCGATCTCCTCAAACGTTTATATTGATTTTTTTTTTCATAATTTTCGAGAAAATCTGAAACGATAAAGAAATTATCTTTGTTTTTATATTATTTTTCAAACAAAACATACAGACGAACCAACAAAACACTAGCAAATCGAAATCCAGAAGTGGAAACACACCTGTCTTTATCCTGTCATATGTCAGTTGTTTTTTGACGGATTCGCATGTTCATCCTCTTGTTCTGTTCAGAAAAGTCCACGCTCTCAGAATACTACACGCCAAAATGAACAGTGCAACTCAAGAAAGTCCCAGCAAGTTAATTCTGCCAGGTTTTGTTGTGTCCGCCATTTTGTCTTCTGAAAAAATTTAATAGATTTGGAAAAGACGTTTTGCCTTTAGGTTAGGTTAGGTTGACACAGTGGAATGGAACCCACGTAAGCCAGAGACTCGTTGTGATGCTATATGGGGTGGTTACCATTCCCATCACTACCGTGAGAACCAGTAGCTGCTTTTGGGTGTATGATAAATTGATGACGATTTTGATACCAACCGACTGAAGATCTGATAGGTGGTCGAGATAGGGCTGCCCTAGAGCAGACAATCTTTCCCTGGATAGGGCAGCGCAGTGACAGATTAAGTGGACAGTCGTCTCTTCCTCCTTCTCGTCTTGACAGCTTCTACAAAAGTCATTACGTTGTAGGATCCCCATGCGAGTAGCATGACACCCTCTTAACCAGTGTCCAGTGACGGCCGCAATTGCGTTTCCGATGAAGTTTCGCGAGAGAGATAAAATATCTTTAGTGTGTCGCAGGTTAAGCTTTGGTCATACCTGTCTAGACGAGGAGCAAGAAGGCTCATCCCACCACCTAAGGTTGGTTAGGCGGAGTACTTCCTTCCGGAGGAGCAACCTCCGTTCAGCAATAGGTGCTTCTGGTCTAGTATTAGCGGATATAGCCTTCAGCATCGTACCAGCTCTAGCTAACTCGTCTGCCATACCATTTCCTGCTATGTCCTTGTGGCCGGGTACCCAGACAACATTAACTCTCACTTCAGTCGTCAGCTCATCTAAGGCTTTGCGGCATTGTATAGCCACCTTTGAGGTCAGGTAGACTCAAGTTCAAAGACTCAATGGCAGCTTGGCTGTCACTTAGAATAGAATTCCATTGGACTCAATTTCGGTTTAAAGCACCCATTTGGCTATTTCGTTTATAGCTACCATCTCTGCCTAGAAAACACTGCAGTAGTCCAGCAAACGAAATGACAGGTTGAGGGGTGGGGACTCTGAGTGGACTCCACTTCCTACTTTCCCCTCTAGTTTTAAGTCATCTGTATTGAAGAGCGACCCATTTGTTATAACTAGGTTCGCTACCCACTTTTCTCTGGACGGAATGTCCACCAAGAACTTGGGAACATCGGGGTGGGTTTTGTGTGATTGCTGAACTTCGCGAGATGGCATGATAACATTTAAAAGAGTGCGGACCTTCAGGTTTGTGTAAAATGCATCCATGGGAACTCGATTCGAAGCCGAACAAACCGCAGTGCGCATCTCGAAAAGGACTCGGGCAAGACGAACCGTGACGTCCCCTTTTCTGTGCTTTTGAAAAAGTTCCTTGAAACTTCGAACCGAACGTTCTACCAGCCCGTTCAGGTATATATGACTCCATTCTTCGAGAGGAAGGGAAGGAATTCTTGAGATACCA